TGTTTTAGAAGAAATAACGGAAGAAAAAGCTGAAAATTGCAGAATAATTGATGGAAAAGGGAAAGATGGAAACACCGTATTTCAGTATAGAAAACAAAACAGAAATGAAACATTTGGAAGTCGACATTAGCCAATTAACCACAAATTACTATAGAAGAAATTCATTTTAAACGAATTCGTATTACGAGTAAGTCACTTTATTTAATATAAGTGTTATGTAGATTATTGGAATAATTTCGTACGTTTCCTCAAAAGGAAGAGAATTTCCGTGTTAAATTTGAAATCGTGTCTTCTTATTTACTTTGTTTCTTCAGCACGAATCTTAATCAACTGCACTTCATTGTGCTGAAGAAATAAAATGGATTTCCCTTATTAATATTTTCGCTGTTTTCAAATTGATTAATTGATTGATCATTCCAACAGGGCGAAGCAAGAAGATCCTAGTCAGCCCGAGAGGGCGAAGAATTGTTTATTTATAGTTAACTTCTACTTTATTGGTTACACATTCTTTAAACTAATCATTACCAGGTTATAGGTTTATTTTTAATTTATCTTTTCTTATATTGAGAACATTTTACCATAGAACATATTTCACCAACTTTACAATCAGTGTTTTACATTTTGTGTTTATTTGAAAGGACTTATTTTTCCTCTCTTACATTTAAAACCTTATAAATTATTAATATTTACATAAGATCGATTCTGCACAATATATTTTCACATTTATTCCAGAAATCTATTACATACCTTTAAACATCTTTTAACTTCAGTTTTCTAGTTTTATCTGTGTTTTTACCAATCGTCATTAAATGTAACTTTGTTTTGGATGACACGAAAAATGTTATCAGTTCCTTTATAAAGTTTTTTTTATCTCAGAATCTGTCATGGTTTTATAATCACTTAATATTTTTAACTCTGCGTCTTGTTTTATGTTTTTAATTGTTAATGATGCATTTAGTTTTTTCTTATCATATAATAGCTTACATCTTATTTTCCAAAGAGTTCTTTTTGTTAGAGCTATAATCCAATTTAGCATATATGTGTTTTGATTTTTGATCATAAGGTTTGATTGGTATTTAATCGATTCCCATGTAAGTCTTGTCTTCCAGGTCTTAGCTACCCAAGCCCAAGCCGATTTAGCTATGTCACAAAGATAATAAAGGTGTATTATGTTTTCTGTAAGCCCGCATCTTGGGCAGTTTGAATTTCTACTGATTCTGTTTTTATATAGGAAATCTTTAGTTATTACAATATTGTTTAGAATTCTCCATTGATTTTCTGCCCATTCGTTGGGAAGATTATGTGTTTTTTTCCATACCTGTGGCCAATTGATAGTGTGATTATCCATGTTTTTGTTTTCCTCTTGTTGATGTATTATGTCATAAATCATTCTTGGTCTAATTCTATGGTTGCTCTTAAGAAGGGTGTTGTCTTGTTTGTCAATTTTATTTATTATCTCTCTCCATGTTTTGAATTGTTTATTATTGTTAATAAGAAATGGAAATCTTTCGTTTAGATTTGTTATCTTATTTGCAGTCGGACCTAAAATATATTTTACTAGTTGCTCTAGAGGATGTGCTCGTTGCTTAAGACTGTTTATAAAAGAAGCTATCTGTATAGCATTCTCAAAGAGTTTAATATCCCATATCTCCATTCCTCCTTTCTCTTTTTTGTTTTTTATTATTTTTCTGCTCAGCGGTTCGTATTGACTCTGCCAAAGATAGTTAAATAATGGACTTTCTAGCTGTTTTTTTTCTTGTTTGTTTAAGTTTGTTATGTAAAGATTGTATATAATTCTTGCAATTAGAACTTTATTTATAATTTTGGCTCTTTCTGGAAGATATAACCAGTTTTCTGTCCATTGTTTAATTGATTTTTTTTATTTTATTTTCCATTTCAAATTGATTTCTTTCTTTTTCTTCCTTACCAAACCACAGACCGAAAATTTTTATTGTATGGGCTTTTTGAATAGATAATTGTTGATTTGTAATACTTCCTACTATATTTAGTATTTTGCACTTGTTTTCATTAATTTCCATTCCTGTATATGCACTGAAGTTTTTTAATTTATTCATTACTTTTTCGAGACTAAAGTTGTTTACTATAAAGATGTTTATATCGTCTGCATGAGCCACCAGCTTAATTTTATCTTTTATTCCTGGAATGTGTATTTTATCTATTAGATCNGTTTTTGTTTTCCTCTTGTAGATGTATTATGTCATAAATCATTCGTGGTCTAATTCTATGGTTGCTCTTAAGAAGGGTGTTGTCTTGTTTGTCAATTTTATTTATTATCTCTCTCCATGTTTTGAATTGTTTATTATTGTTAATAAGAAATGGAAATCTTTCGTTTAGATTTGTTATCTTATTTGCAGTCGGACCTAAAATATATTTTACTAGTTGCTCTAGAGGATGTGCTCGTTGCTTAAGACTGTTTATAAAAGAAGCTATCTGTATAGCATTCTCAAAGAGTTTAATATCCCATATCTCCATTCCTCCTTTCTCTTTTTTGTTTTTTATTATTTTTCTGCTCAGCGGTTCGTATTGACTCTGCCAAAGATAGTTAAATAATGGACTTTCTAGCTGTTTTTTTTCTTGTTTGTTTAAGTTTGTTATGTAAAGATTGTATATAATTCTTGCAATTAGAACTTTATTTATAATTTTGGCTCTTTCTGGAAGATATAACCAGTTTTCTGTCCATTGTTTAATTGATTTTTTTTATTTTATTTTCCATTTCAAATTGATTTCTTTCTTTTTCTTCCTTACCAAACCACAGACCGAAAATTTTTATTGTATGGGCTTTTTGAATAGATAATTGTTGATTTGTAATACTTCCTACTATATTTAGTATTTTGCACTTGTTTTCATTAATTTCCATTCCTGTATATGCACTGAAGTTTTTTAATTTATTCATTACTTTTTCGAGACTAAAGTTGTTTACTATAAAGATGTTTATATCGTCTGCATGAGCCACCAGCTTAATTTTATCTTTTATTCCTGGAATGTGTATTTTATCTATTAGATCGTCATTTGTTATGCTTTTTAATAGGGCGTCTATGTAAATTGCAAATAGTATCATTGAACTTGGACATCCTTGTCTTACGCCAGATTGACAAGTTATTTCTTTAGAGTTGTTGTTGTTTATTGATATGGAAGTCTTGGGATTGTTGTAAAGTCTTTGGATGAACCATATTTCATTCTTATTTAATCCAAACTTTTCAAGTATTTTCCATAATTTATTTCTGTTCACAGTATCGAATGCTTTTTTTACATCAATTGATAAGATTGATAATGTGTTCTTTTTTTCTTTGTATATGTCTTTTATTAGTTTAATGAATAATGTGTTGTTTTGTATGGTTCTACCAGTAATCCCAGCTGTTTGAGTTTTTGTTATTGTATCTTTAAAAAGAGATTCAATTCTTTTAGCTAGAATTAAACTGTATATTTTATAATCAGTGTTTAAAATTGTAATGGGTCTAAAATCTGTGAGATCTTTGCCTAGACTGTTTTTCTTATGGATTAAAATCATTTTACCTTGGCTAAAAGAACTGGAGAACTCGTTTAGATTATATATCCCTTGTAATTTTTCAGCTAAAGTATCTTCAAAGAATTTATAAAATTCAGATGGCAATGTGTCTCTTCCTGGGGCCTTTCGTGTATTTAGATCTTGTATAGCATTTTTAATCTCTTTTATAGATATTTTGTTGTTGATTTTGTTTGTTTCTTTATCCTTAATAGGGGAGATCCATTTTAATATGTCTTCCTCTACCGAGTTATTTGATATGGGAAGGGAGAATAATTTTGAGTAAAAATCATGGAATCTCGTTATAATTTCATTTGTCTCAGTATAATCTATCCCATTTTGTGTTATTTTTTCAATTTCTATGCTTTCTTTTGTTTTATTCTTTTTCTCAAAGATTATTTTTTCCGTTTCCCTTTTGATTTTAAATTTATTCATTTTGTGTCTTATATAATTTTCTTTACATTTTATATCTAATTCCTCAGAGATTTGTTTTTCTATTATTTCTATACCTTGTTGATTGTTTTCTAATATGTTATTTGTGAGTTGCCTTTGTAATTTCTTTATTTTGTTAAATCTTGATTTTTTAATTTTCATCCATATTTCTTTAATTATTACTTGGCATTCTTTCTTAAAAAGGCTCCATTCATCCCATGTTATATCTTTCTGCATGGATTCTATTTTATTTAAGATTTTGTTTTGGAATTCCTTATCATCAATTATTTCCTTTGTTAGTTTAATATTTTGTCTTCTTTTTAAGTTATTTCCTATGGTGATATCAATTTCTATCATTCTGTGGTCTGAGATTTTTATTTGATCCACCATAAGGTCGTAGCTAATTTGATTTGTGATTTTACCTATTATTTCATTAATGTAAAACCTATCCAATCTTTCTCTTATTCCTTGACCCTCCCATGTGTAACTTTGATTATCAGGAAAGTATTTCCTGTATATGTCTACCAGATTGTAATCATCTAAGATTTTTTGTAGGATTTGGCGTGAACTATCTGGATGTAAGCTTATATTTTTGTCCAATGGTTGTAGGACACAGTTAAAATCTCCTGAAAGTATCAGGTCTCGACCTCCTCTGAAAATGTTAGTTAACTTATTAAAAAGTTCTTTTCTTTGAACTGCTAACGTCGGTGCGTAGATATTTATAATCTTTATTAGTCTATCTCCTATTTGTATATCTACTGCTAAGAGCCTTCCTTCAGTATCTGTCTGAAAGTCCTGTGTTTTTATGTTTTTATGGACTAAAGTGAGCACCCCTGTGCTTCTTCTAGAAGCAAACGAGGCATAAATGTTATATCTAGTGAATATTTTCCTTAACGCTCTTAAGTCTTCAAAATTATAAATATTTGTATCTTGTAATAATAAAACATCTATTTTTCCTATACATGTTAAATTCAGTATACAATATTGTTTTCTTTTATCTCTAAATCCTGAAATGTTATAACTTCTTATATTAATGCTTCTATTTTTATTCATTTTCTGTATTTGGATGTGTAACCTTCGTATAACTATATAAATCTGACACTGAAACTGTTCTTCTAACTCCTTTTTCCTCAGCCAGTTTTCCTAGCATTCTATTTAACTCCCCAATTTTTTCATTTTCAGAAAGGTCCTTTCTTTGGTCTATTTCTGACCAGAAAGGGATTTTCTTAGCTATCTTTTCTTTCGCTTGCCTTTCTCTGCTTACTTTCCTTTTCCCTTTTCTTTCAGGGACGTTTTCCTGACTATTTATCACTTCTTTTAAATTGTGTTTTATTATTTCTTTCTCTCTTATTCTACCTCTCCCTTCGTTTTTCTCGGTTTCCTCTTTATCGCTAGATTTTTGCTGTTTTCTTTGTAAAGTGTCTTTTTTAGGTGTTTCTATGATTGGGATTTTGTTCTGTTGTTCTTGTGGCTTGTTTGTTGTTGGTAAGTTTTTTTCATTTTTGTTTTTCAGAGCTTTATCTAAGCTTCTCTCTCTCTTCCTTTCTAAACTGTGTTTTCTGGGCCCTCTTCTTAGTATTTCTGAATATGAGATTTTAGGACATTTATCCCCTTTTTCGTGAATTATTCCGCAATTATAGCATGCGGGGCAGTCTTTAATTAGATGTAATTTACTCTTACATCTGAAGCAAAGTTTTATGGGGCAGTCCCTAATTTCATGTTCTAAATCCCCGCATCTTAAACATTCTTTCCTAACCCCCGGGTAATATATTTGTAATCTTCTGCCATAAGCATCCACATAACTTGGAATTCTTTTCCTTGTCACTATAGGGATTCGATATATTCCATTCCTTACTCTTGTATTAGGGTGATAATTGGGATATACATTTAATACTTTCCCAAATTTATTGAAAATTTGTTTAAGCATTTCCTCATCTATCTCTCCCGGAACATGTCTGACTGTTATCGCTACTAATTCTGACTCTAAGCTTTCTAATGTGTAACAACATTCGCCTAATTGGATTTGTTGCCCTACTAATGTTTCTTTTTGTGCTACTGTTGTCAGTGCTATTTCTACTGTTTTTTTTGGTTGGTAACTTACTTGGTACACGCTTCCTTTTTCTTTTATTTTTTCTTCGATTGCATTTATTAATTGAAGAGTATCTAGCTTTTCTTCGTAGGTGAATCGTACTGATCTGATGGCTGTATACTTCTTCAGTTTGTCGGATATTTCCTCTGTTATATCTTGTTCTTCTGCTTCTTTTTCATCCCCTGTCTCCTGAGTTTCTGTTTTGTCTTCTTCTTTCTTATCGAGTTGGTCATCTTTATCTTTCTCGTTGGATTCTTTTCTTGTTTCCTCATTCTCGATATCTTCAGTCGCCCGCGAGCTAGTCGTTGGCTCCTGTTGAGTCAGATTCTCCTCCATTGTTGTGTCACCGTTGCTACGTCACTCGGCTACGATTTTACGACGGAATCTTTAACCTTGGAGTTCGCGCTGGCGCGAAAAGTTGGTCTAGTTATTATAGCAACCCAGTCGTTGTCAAGGTAACCGGCGCCAAAAGGAAAGTTCGTTGGAATTAATGAACAAAGATTATCAAACTTACGATCTTTGTAATTTTTTTCCAGTTGGTCGTATTTTGATGAATTTTTTATATCGTAATACTGATAATGTCCTCTACTAGATGTATCAATATTTTTGGAAAATATTTGATAGTCGGTCCAGGATTTCCGCTCAAAGCCCGCCCTATCGCTGAACTTAGAGTTCTAATATCTCTGTCAAATTTTGGCCTANAATATTTTCCTTAACGCTCTTAAATCCTCAAAGTTATAAATATTTGTATCTTGTAACAATAAAATATCTATTTTTCCTATACATGTTAAATTCAGTATACAATATTGTTTTCTTTTATCTCTAAATCCTGAAATGTTATAACTTCTTATATTAATGCTTCTATTTTTATTCATTTTCTGTATTTGGATGTGTAACCTTCGTATAACTATATAAATCTGAGACTGAAACTGTTCTTCTAACTCCTTTTTCCTCAGCCAGTTTTCCTAGCATTCTATTTAACTCCCCAATTTTTTCATTTTCAGAAAGGTCCTTTCTTTGGTCTATTTCTGACCAGAAAGGGATTTTCTTAGCTATCTTTTCTTTCGCTTGCCTTTCTCTGCTTACTTTCCTTTTCCCTTTTCTTTCAGGGACGTTTTCCTGACTATTTATCACTTCTTTTAAATTGTGTTTTATTATTTCTTTCTCTCTTATTCTACCTCTCCCTTCGTTTTTCTCGGTTTCCTCTTTATCGCTAGATTTTTGCTGTTTTCTTTGTAAAGTGTCTTTTTTAGGTGTTTCTATGATTGGGATTTTGTTCTGTTGTTCTTGTGGCTTGTTTGTTGTTGGTAAGTTTTTTTCATTTTTGTTTTTCAGAGCTTTATCTAAGCTTCTCTCTCTCTTCCTTTCTAAACTGTGTTTTCTGGGCCCTCTTCTTAGTATTTCTGAATATGAGATTTTAGGACATTTATCCCCTTTTTCGTGAATTATTCCGCAATTATAGCATGCGGGGCAGTCTTTAATTAGATGTAATTTACTCTTACATCTGAAGCAAAGTTTTATGGGGCAGTCCCTAATTTCATGTTCTAAATCCCCGCATCTTAAACATTCTTTCCTAACCCCCGGGTAATATATTTGTAATCTTCTGCCATAAGCATCCACATAACTTGGAATTCTTTTCCTTGTCACTATAGGGATTCGATATATTCCATTCCTTACTCTTGTATTAGGGTGATAATTGGGATATACATTTAATACTTTCCCAAATTTATTGAAAATTTGTTTAAGCATTTCCTCATCTATCTCTCCCGGAACATGTCTGACTGTTATCGCTACTAATTCTGACTCTAAGCTTTCTAATGTGTAACAACATTCGCCTAATTGGATTTGTTGCCCTACTAATGTTTCTTTTTGTGCTACTGTTGTCAGTGCTATTTCTACTGTTTTTTTTGGTTGGTAACTTACTTGGTACACGCTTCCTTTTTCTTTTATTTTTTCTTCGATTGCATTTATTAATTGAAGAGTATCTAGCTTTTCTTCGTAGGTGAATCGTACTGATCTGATGGCTGTATACTTCTTCAGTTTGTCGGATATTTCCTCTGTTATATCTTGTTCTTCTGCTTCTTTTTCATCCCCTGTCTCCTGAGTTTCTGTTTTGTCTTCTTCTTTCTTATCGAGTTGGTCATCTTTATCTTTCTCGTTGGATTCTTTTCTTGTTTCCTCATTCTCGATATCTTCAGTCGCCCGCGAGCTAGTCGTTGGCTCCTGTTGAGTCAGATTCTCCTCCATTGTTGTGTCACCGTTGCTACGTCACTCGGCTACGATTTTACGACGGAATCTTTAACCTTGAAGTTCGCGCTGGCGCGAAAAGTTGGTCTAGTTATTATAGCAACCCAGTCGTTGTCAAGGTAACCGGCGCCAAAAGGAAAGTTCGTTGGAATTAATGAACAAAGATTATCAAACTTACGATCTTTGTAATTTTTTTCCAGTTGGTCGTATTTTGATGAATTTTTTATATCGTCTTACTGATATTGTCCTCTCCTAGATGTATCAATATTTTTGGAAAATATTTGATAGTCGGTCCAGGATTTCCGCTCAAAGCCCGCCCTATCGCTGAACTTAGAGTTCTAATATCTCTGTCAAATTTTGGCCTAATGGCCCACTTAAAGTCATAATCTTACTCACGTTAGATCCTGCTTACAGTTTGTTAGTCCAGATCCTTAAGATCGGTCACCGATTTCCGGCTGACCGGTCTTCACTTCACAGCAACCTTCCGGCGATAGTAACTAAAAAAGTTACGGTCCCACTCCTAAAAAAGTAACACCACTGTAATCCTTATTATTCAAGGTATCCAACGGTATATCACTTTTTACAAAACGAGCACTAGATCCGCACAGATACTGTGGTTTCAAAGTTTGTATAACGACTTAACACTATTTCCAATCGTTTTTCCTTCATTATAAGAACAGATTTAAAAACCATTTATTAAAGATAATAATATATACAATTCAGTTACCGGTTAGGTAGAGAGTGTGGACATGGGCACATTGGCCGACAAGTGAGCGTACAAGTGGTTAAGAAGGTAAGTATAGAAGTGGGGCAATGCCCCTAACGCGTTCCATGGGCACTTAGCCTGCCGGTGTATATACACAAAAGTAGGACGCGCTCCAAGGGCACAAAGCCTGACAAAACTACAAGGTAAGAACGCGCTTACATGGGCATAAGCCGAAAATACAATGAAAACCACGCGAGTAGGTACAGGACGCGTTCCGTGGGCACATAGCCGGTTGGAGTATATGTACAGAGTTTGGGCGAAGTCCTGGGTGTGCACCAAGGGAGTTAGTTCTGGTATCGAGGGCCGAGGTGGCTGGTATAGATGTCCCTGCTGGCCTTGATACAGTCGCTTACCATTAAGCGCCTCATCAGTTTGGCGTAGTTCCTAGAGATGCCTAGGCGCTGGATGACACCTTCGTTGGCGGCGTCGTAGCCCCCCAAGGCGCCGACAATGAAGGCATCTATGTAGGTATCATAACCCTGGCGACGATAGTGTGTAGCAAGGTCTTCGTATTTGCGAACCTTCTCCTCTCTGGCCCGGTTGAAGGCATCCTCGCCGTTTTCGAACGGTGTGGCTATATCGATGATTGTTGCAGTCTTCGGGCTGTTGTTTAATACCACAAGATCTGGCCGGCATGCACTATGGAAGTCCGGGATCTGTTGGTTTGTGAAGATCCTGAGGTTTTTACGGTCTATGGCGTTGATCAGTCGGTCGAGAATTGCATTATGCCTCTTTGTAATCTGGCTGAGGTTAGGCGGGCAATGGTTGATTACGTGGGCGAGCGTTTCTCGATGGCGCTGGCATCTGCGGCACTGCTGACTTGCGTTTCCAAAGCGGCGGAGGCCGCGGAGAGGTACGACGCTAAGTCTTGCACGATGGATGAAACGCCAGTCAGCGAATCTGATGTAGTTACCATCGTGCAAGAAGTGGTTGCTGTTTTTATTAGTGGCGGTGAGCTTGAAGACCTTGCCTTGGTCAGGCTTACGAAGTAAGGAGCTGAGGAAGGTGGTCTTAACGGCTGTTGAGATGGTGTTGACAGCGGTGGGTTTTTTAACAAGCTCACCGTCGATGGAAGGAATGATGGTGCCGTCTTCATTTGGGTGCCAGTTAAGGTTGATCCGATTCCGTAGACGGCGTGTGGCCATCCTCAGGCGGGTCCAGAGGGAGGGGATGTCGTACGGGTCGCTGCCAAACTCGTTCTCCATGGACCCGGAGAGGTACGTGCAAAGGTCTTGGCCAGTGGGTTTACGCCTTATACGCTTCTCGACGACTAGCTCAAGTGTCTTGGTGGCGAGGCTGGAGATGGTAGAGTCCCTAGATAGAAAGAGGTTAGTTGCGTGACTCACCTGTGCAACGTCGGCGAGGATGCCGCATGGTGTGACGTTGGCGCCGCCTTGGCAGTTGGGCATGTAGACTAATTCGGGTGAGGCTCGCTGGGGTAGGTGCATCCACCGTTTGATGCAGCGCTTGATTGTTTTGTCTAAGTCGTTGAGTCTCCTTTTCGGGGTGTTGCCCAGGGTTAGATGGAATGTGAGTCGTGGCAGAAGGAAGGTGTTGACACAGTCAATCTTCTGCCACGGGGCCAGGCAGGAGGTGTCGACGGAGCGGAGATCTTTGTGGATACCATCAATCACGGTTTCGGCAGTTGTCCCTATGGTGAAACCGGTTGGTATACCGAGATGTAGGTAGTGGTCCTCCTTTTTAAGTTGGGGGATGCGGGCCTCTTGGATTTTGAAGCCGGAGGAGCTGTTGGAACAGTGGTATTTGTCTGCCACTGAAAGTGTTGCACATTTGGCAGCGTTGAAAGAGAGGCCACTGTTGCGGGCCCAAGATGAGAGAAGGTCCAGCTGTGACTGTAGTCCTGAGCGTGTGGCGCTAGCGACGGTGATGTCGTCAGCGTAGGCCAACGCTGAGATGGAATGGCCGTGAAGAGAGTACCCTACCTGTAGATTGGATAAGAGGCGAAGGGCTGGCTCCACTACGATGTTGAAGAGAATCGGGCTGAGGGGGCAGCCCTGTTTGACCCCGGCAAGGATGGGGATGGGGTCCGTAAGCCCTGAGCAGGAGCGGATGCGGGTGTGGCAGCCGGTGAGAAGTTGCTCGATGCGGTGGATGGACTGTTGACCGAGGCCACACCACTTTAGGCAGGCGAAGATGGTGGCGTGTGGGACCGAGCCAAAGGCATTGGTCAGGTCCAGCCACGCCACGTGGCACTCTCTATTCTTGCGTCGGGCGTCTTGTATGATGGATTGGAGCACAAAAGTGTGCTCCGAACAGCCCTCGAAACGCATAAAGCCTTTCTGCGCTGTGGAGATGGTGTTGTTCTCCTCACACCAGCGCAGGAGGCGATTGGCGATGCAAGCGGCGTAGATCTTTCCAAGAGTGTTGGCGAGTGCAATTGGTCGCCAGTTTCGGATGTCATCCTGGGCCCCTTTCTTGTGCAGGAGGATCGTGGTCGAGGTTCTCCAGGCGGCAGGGGTTGCTCCGATGCGGTGGACCGTGTTGAACAGCGCTGCGAGGATGTGGCCCTGGGGGTCGAGACGTCTCCAGGTGTAATAGCGGACGCCGTCAGGGCCTGGTGCAGTGTTGTGACACTTGGAAAGTCTGGTCGAGACCTCAACGGGGGTGAAGGTGCTGTTGAGGGGGTCGTCGCTCGTAGGTTGTAGGGGTGGTGGCAGTTGGTCACTGGAGATTCCCGGGCACGTGGAGGAGTTGCTATTAACGGTATTAAAGTGGTCAGTAAGGGCGGACTTACCGATTTGGCAATATCTTCCGGTGCCTCTGGTGATTTCTTCAAACGCCTTTCTTTTGTTTGCACGATAGAGGCGCTGCATTCTACTTGCTTCCGCAGCGTTGTATCTGCGGGGCCTATTGTAGTTGCTGCGCTGTGCAGTGGGTTGACGAGGTTGGCGTTGGTGGTAGTTGGTCCGAGTTCTCTGCTGGGGGGACATGGATTGGGCCAGGTGGGTGAGGTCGCCAACCATGACCTCAAGCATGTCCTCGTCTAAGGCACAGTTGAACCGTTCACACCAGGCGGTGACCCATTGTGGTGGCTCGGTGGTGGCACTGGCGGTGAGCTGGTTGGCGTCAGGAGGGGTGGTCTCGCTGGTGGGCTGAGAGGTGGCAGACTGGGCAGGCTGGCAGCAGGTGTCGACGGGTGCCGGCGGGTAGGTAGCTGGCTCTTCTTCAGGTATGACGTCGGCAACGATGTTGGTGCTGGCAGGTGGGTCAGCACGGGTGGGCGTGCTAGAGTCTGCAACAACGGTGGGACCGTGTGTGGAGCGTCGGCGATGGCGACGAGGGCGCCTGATGAGAGGTGGCGTGGCGCAGCTACTGGTGTCACAGGGGGTGACAGACGTGTCGTCGAGGCGAGACTGAGGGCTGGGCTGGCCGGGAGTACAGCTGGCAGCTCGGTCGTTGGATGGTGACAGAGGTGGACTACGGTCGCTGTCCTGGGGGGCTGGGCAGGCCGCAGTCTGTCTGCGTGTTGATCGGCGAGGTCGTGGCCTGGTAGGATCGGCGGGCAGACGCTGTCGTTGTTTTGGGTCCCTGGTGCTGTTGGGAGAGATGGCCGGTATCTGGCTGGAACAGCTAGCAGACTTAGATTGGTGAAGTTTAATTTCTTTGAGCTTGTCGGAGCGTTTGCCGCAGGCACGGCATTCGAAGCTCAGTTTGCCTCTATGGCCGCGGCGGAGGTGCCGGGCAAGGCCGCCGTGGTCGACGTAGTCCCGGTAGCACGGCATGCATGGTAGGCATTGGTACGGAGGGCGCAAAGGCACAAGAAGGGTAACCTCCGTACAGTCGCTGGCAGTGGCCATGGATCAAATGTGCAGTATAGGGGGAGTGGAACAGTGCGGAAATGCCCCCTGGGGTGCTAAAGCAGCCAACCAAGGAGGGGCAGGAAGGGGAAGAAAGGACTACTGCTTGGGTTGGCCCAGGCAGTAGTAGAAGTACACGTTGCGTCGTGATCAGTGATCACGCCGCGACAGAAAAGTGGTTGCTGGTCAGGCAGCGAATACACTGTGCGTTTAAACAGTGCAGGCCGCCCTTCCAGCGGAAGTAGGAAGAGTGATAGAAAAGAGAAAAACGTTAAAAACTACTTACCGACTCGGCGGGGAGCATTCGGCTCGAAATCCTGGAGTCGTCGAGATGAGGCAGAATCAGGCTTAATTTAGAACATTAAGCTGATAAGAACAGATACTGATTCTCATAAAGTTTATACGGTGAGAGTAAATCCCGTGCAGAGTGGCTAAAGGCAGCCACCTGCGCCCGCAATAACTAACTAATCATTGAATGCAGTACCTCCTCACTTCACAGAGCCCCCACCTTAGTGANCAAGCTGATAAGAACAGATTTAAAAAGCCTTTATTATATATTCAATTATTATTATGTACAGGCGTTACTAAGGCAGTGAAGAAGTAGTGATGTAGACAAGTATACAATATAAAACTAGAGATAACGCGACATGGGCATAAGTTTTGCCAACCAGTATATACAGATATTACAAGTATCGCGACATGGGCATAAGTATTTGCCAACCAGATATACAAGTAATGGGAGCTTTCGCAACATGGGCTTTTTGCCAACTAGTTAACCGTACAAAGGGAGGTTAAGTGTTCGCGAACATGGGCTCAATATTCCCTGCCGATAACCGTACAATGTGTTTGTGAGGAGATACATACATGGGCTCTGTGCCAGCTGTAANTATACGGTGAGAGTAAATCCCATGCAGAGTGGCTAAAGGCAGCCACCTGCGCCCGCAATAACTAACTAATCATTGAATGCAGTACCTCCTCACTTCACAGAGCCCCCACCTTAGTGAATAAGGCCGTTCTCTGTGCCGTGAGGATAGAAGAAACTAACTGAAGTAAAACAGTGGTTGTTGGCCTCGTCACACATGCCGATACGGCAAGGGAGTCAACAGCCTTAAGATTGAAGTAAGCAGTATCCTATCCCGCTGAACAGATGACAGGGGAATCATTGGATAGTAGGGCAGGAGTTGCCACAACAAAAGCTAAAGCCTGTACAGGCTAGGGCATAGGAAACAGAAAGATCAAGAGGGAAGTGGAGGTCCAGCACACAGAAGGCTGGAGTCCATCCCCTAGAGAGACAAACAAAGTACTTAAAAAAAACTAGCCTATGCTAACTTATATGCTAACGTGCACTTAAGAGAGTAGATCGTTAAGAGTTGGGCTACCGTCCTTCCAGGTCCAGAGGGTCTGGTTGGGGGTATCCCAAAGAGCATTAAAGTTTGTCCGTTTAAGAGACTGAAAATCCGAGAGTAGCTTGCGAGCTAAAGCCTCTCGGATTTTGATACGGAAAAGGCGGTGGGCGGTGTATTTGTGTTCAAATACCCTCCTACACCTGGCTAGCCACATCTCGTGTTTAGCCATGTGAATAAGGAGACTAATCACATAGGGAGATGCGGTGCCTTTGCTAAAAAGGACGTGGAGAACTACGTTCTCTCTTGACAGAAAGGGTAGTCCTAGGAGGGGGGTAATCCAGCCCCAAATTTTCCTAGCTACCCTACAGAAATAAAAGAGATGTGCTGCCGTTTCGGGCGAAGAGTTGCACATGGGACAGTTTTCACTCATAACGTAAACTCCGATAGACCGGAGTTTGACTCTGGTGGAGAGTGCATTATGCAACAACCTCCACTGGAGTTCGACGCAGTGTTCGGGAATAAGCCCATCAAAACATCTGCGCCAAACAGTGGCCCAGTCAATAGAGGCCTGAGTGATCAATGGATAGATCGAGACAGAGGTGTCGGGCCTAAGGTGGCGATAAATTTCGCAAGCCTTAGTTTTTGCAGAAGGGATGTTCCCAGATTGGGAGAGACTGAGAAGGTGCGTGCACCATACTTTCGCAAAGGGTGGTGGAACCAACACTTTGGGCATAAGATTTACCTTGTAATTAGGTAACAGAAGCTTAAGGCGATACCCAAGAAAGAAGCTGTACAGCTTACTTACCGGGTGATCGCGGGCAGTAAGGGCTAGGACAAGCTGCCTAATTTGGGCAGCAGCAGAGAAGAGGGAGGGCTCAAACATAGCCCAGCCACCGTTTGTTCTAGTATTATACATAATATTACGACTAACCCATTCTGGCTTGTTGCCCCAAACAAAACGGAAAAGGAGTCTATTAATATGCCTAAAGCCTGCGTCCAGGCCGAAAACAGAGGCATAGTACACACAAATACTAAACATAATGTTTTTGTAGACAGCTATCCTACTTGGAAAGTAGAGATAGCTTCCCGTCCAAATGGAAATTTTGTCCCCAATTTTAACTTTAATCTCCTTTAGGTTATGTTTGGCCGAGTCGGCGCCAAAGTATAAACCTAATATTTTAACCCTATCGCTCACAGGGATNTTTACTCCATGATTCGATGGTTTAAGAACGACGATTTATTCTTTATCCGTGGGAAGTTGGTTGCTCGATCCTCCACGAATACAGAGGAACGCATGTATATACAGATTAATCAAAATTTAGATGAAATAGTTGTTACAAGCTGTTAAACAGTACGAATACCGCAGGCAAAAGATTAGATCGAAAAAGTACTTATCATCGGTTTTCATTTGCTACATTTTTTGAAACATTATTTTGTTTCTTAAATTTTCAATTATAGACGTACTGTACTCATTTTCTTTAGCAAGTGCTATTGACTTCAGCTTATCCGCTATGTTTTCACAAGCTCTCCTTCATAACAAAGACTAAGTTCGTAAAGTCGAACGCGTTAAATGAAAACGACGTCATCGTTATTCTTATTTTCATTAGACATCTGGACCGATTTTTTTACAACAAAATGGCTGTTTCTAAAATCGAAAATATGAATGTTGCTAGTGTAGTCTTATCAGAAATATTTTTATTAGATTGCTTCGGGTGGAGTTATTTGTATCATTTTATCTTTTAATCCACAATTTAAACACACGAGCAGATTTAGAAACATCTGTATCGTCGGGCGCCTAAGGGTCATTTCTCATATCTCGAGTGGGTTCGGACTCATTGAAGNGGGCGAGTGGTGTGTGTGAGGCGGTTGGAGCAATCACCCAGATGTTGACGATATATGTCGTTACTCCACCTGATGGCATCACTCACCATTAATTTCTTCATCATGTTGGAGTATCGGCGTCCGATGCCCAGGCGTTGTAGTGTAGCTTCGTTGAGGGCGTCGTAGCTGCCAAGAGCTCCAATGATGAATGTGCCGAAGTGAGTTTCGTAGCCTCTACTGCGAAGGTGTTGGACGAGGTTGTAGTACTTCCTCTCTTTCTCGTCTCTTGCAGCGTCGAAGGCTTGCGGCCCATTCTCGAATGGCAGGGTGACATCGATTACCGTGGCCGTCTTGGATTCTTCGTGCAGGATGGTTAAGTCCGGACGGCAGTTCTCCTGGAAACCTGGAACTCGTTTGTTGACAAGAACGGTGGCCCCTCTCGGTTGGAACGCCGCAACAAGTCTGTTTAAGATGGCGTTGTGCCGCTGGGTGATGAGCCGAAAGTTCGGCGGGCAGTGGCACAGGATGTGTGAGAGGGTTTCACGGGCAAAGCCACAGCGGCGGCAGGCCTTCGATTCGTTGCCGAATCGCTTGTGGCCGCGCAGTGCAACGACGCTTAACCTTGCCCGGTGAATAAATCGCCAGTCGGAGAAACGGGTATAGCGGCCATTGCTGAGGAAGTGGTTACTTACCTCGTGCATGGCAGTGGTCCTGAATGCTTTCCCTTGGTCCGGTTTGGCGATCAGCTTCTGTAGGTGGTGGTTTTTGAGCAGGCCGACAAGCATACCTTGGCATCCCTTGGGGCGGATGAAGTGGTTTCCTACCGCTATAGTTGGTACGCCTGCAGGTCCCATGGTCCAGGTGATGTTAATTCGTTTCCTGAGGCGTCTTGTTGCCATTCGTAGTCGGGTCCATAGAGATGTTATATCCTTGGACGGGTTACCCAAGTCCCCTTCCATGGATCCGTCCAAGTATCTGCATAGGTCTTCGTTGTCCGGTGTTTTCCCCATTCTTGCCGTAACGACGTCTTTAAGGGCACCTAGTGCAATGCTGACAATGTCCTCATCACTGGAATGAAAGAGATGTATGACATGACATACCTGAGCTATGTCTGATAGGGTGCTTGCTGGCGTGACGTTGGTTCCTCCTTGTTTATAGGAGAGGTATATGATTTCCGCACTCGCTCTCTGAGGGAGGCTAAGCCACCTTCTGACGTAACGTTTTAGGTTCCGGTCTATTTTATCCAGGGTTTTCTTGGGTGTAGTTCCCGTAGCGAGGCAGAATGAGAGTCGAGGCATTATGAGAGAGTTTAGTGCATCGACCTTTTGCCATGGGGCAAGGTGCGATGCGTCTAGCTTACCTATGTCTCGAATTACCCCTTCTGTTGTGGCTGTTTCCGTATCGCAGCGTGCAAAACCCGTTGGTACGCCCAGATGCTTGTAGGCATCTTCGTTTCCAAGTTTCGGGAGTTCAGTCTGGCCAAGGTTGAAGCTGTAAGAACCTGTGGAATGGAGTTTCCCTAAAACTGCTAGGGTGCCGCACTTGGTATGATTGAAGCGGATGCCAGCCCATTCCGCCCATTCCGAGATGGAGTTTAGTTGTTCCTGCAGGCCTGTACTACTGCTGCTGACAAGAGCTATATCGTCAGCATAGGCCAATGCAGTCACAGAGTGTCCATGGATACCGTAGCCTCTGTCAAGGGATTGAAGCCGGCGGAGGGCCGGTTCGACTGTCAATATGAAAAGTAGGGGGCTGATTGGGCACCCCTGTCTTACCCCAGTTCTCATGGTGATTGGCTCTGTGAAACCTGTGTTTGTGCGGACCCTCGTTGTGGCGCCGTCGTATAGCCGTTGTATCGTGGAGATGGCGTCTTGGTGCAGTCCGTGCCATTTGAGGGATTCCCAAATGACACTATGAGGGATGCTTCCGAAGGCGTTCGCAATATCCAGCCAGGCGATGTGGCACTCCTTCCTGGCCCGTCTGGCGTCCTGTATTATAGTTTTCAGGAGGAAGTTGTGTTCAACACATCCCTGGTACTGCAGGAAGCCTTTCTGCGATTTGGATATGCGATCGTTGGACTGGCACCATCTGAGGAGCCTATCTGCCAGGCAAGCAGTGTATAACTTACCCATGGTGTTGGAGAGGCAGATAGGTCTCCAGTTGCGTAGGTCGTTGCTGTCTCCTTTTTTGAAGATTAATACCGTTGTGGATTCCCGCCAGCTTGCAGGGATGTAACCGATTCTGAGAACGGTATTGAAGATTGCTGCTAAGATGATGCCGTTTGGGTCGATCCTGCGCCAGTGTAGGTATCTGAGTTTGTCTGGCCCGGGCGCCGTGTTATGACCCTTGGCAATTCGTGTTGCCACCTCTTTGGGTGTGAAAGGCACGTTGAGGGGGTCGTTCGTGGCTGGGGCTGGATCTGGCGTAGCTGGAACTGGTGAGACATCCGTGGGCGGGTCGCACTCATTGATGGATCTGAAATGTTCGAATACTTTGTCAGTGTCTACCTGGCAGAATCTTGAGTCGCCTCCCATGATCAGGTCAAAAGCTCTCTTTCGATTAGTTCGATATAGCCGCTGTATGTCGCTGGCTCCGAGTTGCTGATGTGGAGTGCCGTTGGCGTTTGGCCTATACACACGGCGTGGGCCTCGGATGTCGCAGATGTTGTAGGCGAGGTGGACAAAGTCAGAGAGTATACCCTCTAACATGTCCTCATCCTGGGCAGCTTCAAATCTGTTGGCCCAAGCCATTACCCATTGTGGGGGGCCGTCTTCTGCTTCCGTTGTAGTATCTTCTTGTTGTGGCAGAGGCGGCGGGTCCTGATGTGATGACTCCTGGGTAGTTTGCTGGCACTGGATCATGACAGGTGAGGCTGGGCACGTTGCAGTGTGGTTGGGGCTTGGGGGGCTAGACACAGAAAAGTTAGTAGGTGGTTCAGGTGTGGTGAGCCTACCTGGCGGAGCAGCTGGTGTAGTTGCCTCCTGCGGCAGTTCACGTATTGGAGTGCTACTAGTGTCCAAGTTCGGGCGGCTTCTCGTTGTTTTTCTTCGTCTTGGCCTACGCCTTTTGCTGTTGGGAGTCGGCTGGCTATGTGTCGAAGGGGAAGGCGTCGTCGTTNTCCTGGGTAGTTTGCTGGCACTGGAGCACGACAGGTGAGGCTGGGCACGTTGCAGTGTGGTTGGAGCTTGGGGGGCTAGACACAGAAAAGTTAGTAGGTGGTTCAGGTGTAGTGAGCCTACCTGACGGAACAGCTGGTGTGGTTGCCTCCTGCGGCAGTTCACGTATTGGAGCGCTACTAGAGTCCAAGCTCGGGCGGCTTCTTGTTGTTTTTCTTCGTCTTGGCCTACGCCTTTTGCTGTCGGGAGTCGGCTGGCTATACCACACTGTGCACATACACTTTTGCCTCGGCAGGATATTTGTAAGTGTCCAAATCGCTGGCATTTGAAGCAATGCAGCGGATTTGGAATGTAAGGACGAACGGGGCAGCGCAGATATCCTGCAGTAATGAAGGATGGCAATGTTGGCTTGTCAAATGTGACAATTAAATGNGCTAGACACAGAAAAGTTAGTAGGTGGTTCAGGTGTAGTGAGCCTACCTGGCGGAGCAGCTGGTGTAGTTGCCTCCTGCGGCAGTTCACGTATTGGAGTGCTACTAGAGTCCAAGCTCGGGCGGCTTCTCGTTGTTTTTCTTCGTCTTGGCCTACGCCTTTTGCTGTTGGGAGTCGGCTGGCTATGTGTCGAAGGGGAAGGCGTCGTCGTTGTGTCCCTGTGCCTGGGTTGGGAGACCTCAGGCGAGATCTGGGTTGATTGTAGGTCTGAAGTTCGGGATGAGCGGGTGACTCTTCTTGTGCGTGGTTGTGCACGAGTGGTTGTAGGGGGTGGCACGGTTGAACTCCAAGATGCGTCGCTCTCCTCATCTGGGGACGTGGGTCTCGGCTTCCTCCTTTCGTATGGCTTTCTCGGCCGTGTGGGGATACATACCTTCTTACGGTCGGCTGGGAGCGGCGGTGGAGGTGAAAGGGCCTCTATCTTCTCGCGGCAGTCCTCAGCCCGTAGTTGATGGGCCTTAATGGTCTTAAGTTTTTCGTGGGTGTATCCACATGCTCTACATTCGAATTGCAGAGTGGTGCCATGAATGTGCTTCAAGTGCTTCACGAGCCCGGCATGGTCAGCATAGTCCCGCGGAATCGGCAGGCACAGCTGGCACCCATGGGGCGGGTGGAGTGGCACGAGCACAGTTTGGACTGTCATGACACGCCAAGATCAATGTGTAGTACGATAGATAAGAGAGTAGGTAGAAAGAGGTGAAATGCCCCCTGGGGTGCAGAGCAGCCAACCAAGGAGGGGCGTGAAGGGGAAGAAAGAAGGTGTCCCAAGTGTAACACCACGGGCCTTGGGGGCCACGAGGTGTCCAAGTGGAGCACCGGAGAAAGCTACCAGCCTAGGCTGGTAACGATAGGCGACAGTGTTGCCAGTCGAGCAGCGAATACACGGTGCGTTTAAACCGTGCAGGCCGCTCTTCTGGCGGAAGGGAGAAGAGTGGAGGAAAGAGAAAACAGATAACCAAAAATTTACTTACCACAGGAACTGGGGAGCAATGTAGGGCTCGTAGTCCAGGCTGGGCATCAGTTTTGATGAAGAACCATTAAGCTGATAAGAACAGATACTACACATTTGATCTTAGCCATAAGGCCGAGAAGCGATAAAAAACACATCAAAGGTGCCGACGGGCCAAGTCTGGAAACGTACAATACACGTGTGGTGTGTCCAGGTGACGTCGATCGGCAAATATCCGTTAATACACACGAAAGAACGTCAGGAAACGATAGCAGACGATGCTAAAGGCTACAGGAAATGTCAGGTATTGCATGGGTGTTGCCTGACAACGGCATAAAACTCCTGTTGGTCACCAATNCAAGTAGGATTACAAAAACACTTTAAATGTTTTATAAATTTTCAATTAACTACACAATCAGAAACGAACGCAGACTTCAAATCCAACTTCTCTAAAATTCTTCCAATTATAGTTATTATAATTACTTAACAAATACTTCTAAGCGATAAGATTAAGTGCTATATAAGATAATTAAATGAATATATTTTGAATATATAATACAGTCGTCTCTCGGTAACCGCGAAGGATTGGTTCCGGCAATCCCGCAGATGCTCAAGTCCCTTGTATAAAATGGCGCAATAATCCCATGTACTTTAAATAATCTACGTTATTTATAATATCCAATACTTCGTATATGCAAATTGTTATACTATATTATTTAGGGAACAATGACGTGAAAAATGTACGTACTGTATAGTACACGATTGGTACAGATCGTAAGACTACGTACTACAAAGTAATATTTTCTTTCTTTCTTTCAACACTTACAGGTTGCTTTCGTTTAATGACCCGAAATAAAAATACGTAAAATGAAACAAAATATTTAATACACAAAAAAATTCAACTATTTCTTTCTGCAATTTTCCGAATATTTTTGGTCTGTAAATACTGAGGACAGACAGTACAGTTGAAACAACGTTATTTTTTTAAAATTATATTTAAAAGTAATATCAATACGAACAAAAATTACTGTGGCCGTCAGAATGCCGGGCTGTAATTTTTAATCATATTCGTAATTTATTTAATTTAAAATATATGTTTTCGATCTGAAATTAGATGTCTTTCCCCTGTATATCGTAATTTTCCTCATAACAAGACATGCCGGTCATCTTTGTAACTCCGTTCGGGGAAATATTTTTTAAATTGAATCGCGTATTTACGATCTAGACCGGACGTTCGTATATAGTTAATCGGAAATATAAATATGTGAGGTCCAAAATGTTCCCTACCCAATATAGTTAAACCGACGTTCTTCGCCTTGTCAAAGCATCAATTGACTGCAAAGAGTTAATTAACCAGATGTCGCGCAGGTAAAAAAGAATTGGGAGGGTTGTGTACGGGACACAATCGCAATGGTTTAAGGCGTGAAACCGTAATTGTGTTATTAGAGCAAGTATACGATGTAAATGAATAAAGTCTTGCTGGTTATCACATTGTAAAACAGCTTTCGCACAACTGTTACGGATTCGATCATGCACGAAAAATTATGACAATGGTGAGGAGCGAAGGACAAGAATTTTTCAATGTCGCTTCGGAAATTTACAGTAGCAAAACCGGATTAAAAAAAGGATCTCTCATAAAAGAAATAATATTCTAATTGCGATTGACAGCTAATACAACCGTAAAAATTACTATTCTCATTAATAAATTAATTAATAATTACCAAACCTGAAAATTTCTTCCAATGTCTCGATCCTAAAATCAAACAAAACAAAACCTCAATAATAAATAAACACCCACCAAATCCGAAGCTCAACAAAGCGCTTATCTGAGCAGTCACAAAGTAGTCAATATGCTTTACTCCATGATTCGATGGTTTAAGAACGACGATTTATTCTTTATCCGTGGGAAGTTGGTTGCTCGATCCTCCACGAATACAGAGGAACGCATGTATATACAGATTAATCAAAATTTAGATGAAATAGTTGTTACAAGCTGTTAAACAGTACGAATACCGCAGGCAAAAGATTAGATCGAAAAAGTACTTATCATCGGTTTTCATTTGCTACATTTTTTGAAACATTATTTTGTTTCTTAAATTTTCAATTATAGACGTACTGTACTCATTTTCTTTAGCAAGTGCTATTGACTTCAGCTTATCCGCTATGTTTTCACAAGCTCTCCTTCATAACAAAGACTAAGTTCGTAAAGTCGAACGCGTTAAATGAAAACGACGTCATCGTTATTCTTATTTTCATTAGACATCTGGACCGATTTTTTTACAACAAAATGGCTGTTTCTAAAATCGAAAATATGAATGTTGCTAGTGTAGTCTTATCAGAAATATTTTTATTAGATTGCTTCGGGTGGAGTTATTTGTATCATTTTATCTTTTAATCCACAATTTAAACACACGAGCAGATTTAGAAACATCTGTATCGTCGGGCGCCTAAGGGTCATTTCTCATATCTCGAGTGGGTTCGGACTCATTGATGATTTTACTCACTATTAGCATTTGCAATTTTTTAAAAATAAAAAACTTATCTCAACCCTTAATATTGAGCCTTCTGTGCTTTTATAAAAATTAATAATATAAAAAGTTTTCTAAATAAATTATTGTAACAGATAGCGCCACACAATTTCAAATCGTTTTGTAGGGAAAGTTACGGCAACGAAGCACTTGGGCGATCTGCCTATTGTAAGATGCCTTTCGGGAGGTCTTTTTCAAGGGTAACTGGCCCCTATTTAGGTGTTACAGACGTGGAAAAAACCCGAAAAACTCAATGTAGCCAGCCAGCCAGTCCTGGCGAGGCGCGAACCCCCAGTATTCAGGGATCGGAACCGCTTGGCCACTGGAGGGCCTGCTGGATTTTTAAGTTTTATAATTATGTACAGTCAACCATTCACAGTATAATAATAATAATAATAATAATATTAATGTAGAAGTTACGAACACATTTTCCAGGTGTTATTGAAACCTTTTAGAACGTGGGAAATTGTACGCGAGTAAGGAAATTTTATATCTAACATTATACATTACATTAAGAAAATACACACACGCACACACACACACATATATATAATTAACGCTGTTAATTAATTCCGCGATGCTAACACGTATATCAAATCGCGTTAATCAAATAGCCTAGTGGTACTTCGATACTCGATAGAACAATCACGATCCGCTAGAACAAACTTTCGGTTAATAATAAATATTTTTATTTTACTTTTTGTCATCAGTAAAAAGTTCTCTGTGATAAAAATGAGTAACTAATCTATATCTATAAACGAGAATGTTTGTTCGCTATACGCACCTAGGCCGTTCGACCAACTGCTACGAAACTGAACAGTTCCGTTAATATACTACTAACTTAGATAACGTCGTACATACTATCCCAAAATATTTACTGATTCCTATATATTAATTAATTTTTGTCTACATTAGATGTGCTAGATTTGTGTGTAGCGCCGTCTATTGACAAACAATTTTAAAAATAATAAACTAAATATAATTTAAACAAAAAAGGATATTAAAAACGAAACAGATATTATATTCAATTTAATTACTGCGACAATGATATAGCGCGAAGTAGACTCGCCATATTATTAGTTCGATGAAGTTTCCGGGTTTTCTTCAAGTTAGTAACGCCTAAATAGTGGCTAATTTTCCATAAAACTTCTCCCCGGAGGATCGCCCACGTGTCGCGTAACGGTGACCAAATAAACCAAACAAATTCTAATAATTTTTCTATGAACTCGCTATTTACGATTAATAACTCCGGGTCTAACAAGCTAGTTTAAAAATAAAATGAAATCTTACAGCTCCCTTCAGGATTAAGGGCAACCCGACAACAAACG